GGCCTCTTCTTCCGCAGTGTTTAGTGGATATTAGCGTCGTCAGCTGCATGTTGTTGTTGTTGTTGTTGTCGTTAGAGTGCCCCTCCTTCGCCGGGCGGAGCAGCAAGGCTATCTGTCATCTAGTCTTTTTTTTTTTTCTCTTTTTTGTTGTCTTTTTTACTTCGAGGTTCTTGAGCGGTGCGGCGCATGTCAGTCGAAGCCTGTCGGACGCCTCCTACAAAGCCTGCAGCAACAGATGTTTCTTCCTCTCCACGACATCCACGTAGGGTGAAATTCCCTCATGGTACAGCTGCAGCACGCGCCCCCAGTATGCCTCTCCACCAATGATAGTAGAAAGCGTAGACTGGGCACGACGCTGCCGCTGAGAAACCTGTGTGAACTGCGACAGCGCTGTATAGCAGTAGTTGAAGACGGCCTGTAGGTGGGCCGCCTTTTCCAACTTGGGCGTTAAATTGCGTGTTTCATCGAAGGGGTCAAGTACACTGATTTGGGCGTTGCGGTGCACCTTGGGCGTTGGTTCCGACATCCCGTGCACAGTAACTGAATTTTTTACGAGATCAAAGTTAGCTGCAAAGCCATATGTCAAAAAGAAATCCATCATGAGTCTATTGGCATCAGGGACGTCGGAGGAACTGTATGAGTTAATGATGGCGAGAATCATAACTGCAAGCGCTTCGCCGTTCAGGGCGTCTTTGGTTATTCCCGCGTCATCCAAGATCTTGTTTTGACGCAGGAGGGCATCAAGTAGGGTAAGTGTCGCGTGATAATCTCCGTTGGGCGCTATTATTGTTCGGAACATGTTTGACGGATGTTCCGCACATGAGGCTTGAGGGCCGTAACGTATTGTAAGCCTTTTTCCGGATCGGGTGTCCGTCAAGACAACACACGTGATCTCCCTATAATCTGTGGCAAACTCCACATGTGCCCCGTGACTGTTGGCAACGCTTTGAATTTCGTTCCGGACGCGCTCCATGTCCTCCGGCGCGACAGGGGAATTCTCGGCGTAGTAATGCAGCGTGACGTCTTTCAGTGGCGATAGCCCAGCAGCCGTTGTCGACATGGGCTTCATCACCACAGTGGGCCAGACTGCCTGCATGATTTCGGTCGCAAGACGCACCGCAGAATCGCTGCAGGCTAGTTCCTCCGGCGTAGCCCGAAGAAATGAGGCAAAAAGCCTGAGTTCTTCTGTGGCGTCGTCCGGCACTGCAAAGCCAACACACCATGGCGGCCATGGTCGGCATTCCCGAGCTAACGCCTTCAACAGCGGCCGGGTCGCGACCAAAACCACGTTGAAGTCCTCCAGCTGTGTTTCCCCCTGTTGGCAGCTGCCCGGTGTAGACCGTCTGATGGAGCGGCGCGAACCGTACGAGCCATTTTTGCCATTGCGAAACCCCAATCGGTGGCCCAGGTTGGGGGTTCCGAGGCTACCCCGAAGGGTCGACGGGCTGTAGTAGGCGCCCTGCATCTGCTCCTCCACGTACTCGGTCGGTGTCGGCTGTGATGTCATTGCTTGCGGATATTGTAGATTCTGAAACAAATTCCTCTGCATGTTGAAGTGACTTCTTCCCCGCATTCCCTCCTTCGCTTCTTCGTCGCTCTTCCTTTTTTCACTCCTTTTGTGCTGTAGACGCTTTGTTGCCCCCCACTCGTATGGTGGGCCTTGTTGGAATAAACAAGAGCGAACCACAGCTGATGGAATTCCAGTCGGCAGGGCGGGGGGAGAGGCAACGAAAACTAGGTGGCCGTTCCGCATGTGCTACTCCGCAAACACACACGCACACACACACACACACTCATCGCCCTCTCACGTACGCCTCAGCAAGAGCACATACAAGCGAAATAGAGAGAGTGGGGAGGCGGGGGAGACGAAAGAAACGCCTGTCTGCCCCCAACCCTCCGCACGCCGAAGCCTCACCCCCTCACCGCCGTTGAAGCATTGCTGGGGATGACTAGAAAAAAAAAATGTCAAGTGAAGCAACTCACTAATTTCGGCACCGTACATACATTGCAAGCACTATTACTACAGCGTTACTTCTTCCGACTTTGGCTGCGCTGAGCGACGTATCAACGGGGCTGCCGCCAAGAGATGTATCACATCACTCAGGCGTGTTGTTACCTTTTCGTCATCCTCACTTTTTTCCGTGGCGTCCTCGGTGATCTCCTTGATGACGACCTTTGGGGTCAGCGGCTCCACCTCGGTGATAGCCCGCCCCACATTTTCGAGAGAAATCACCAATTCATTGTCCTCCGGCTTAAGGTAATAGGAGTATGAGGTAAGTTTTTCTAGCAAATTTACATAAAACGACATGCCAGAGCTACACTCCTGGTCAAAAAGCGTGGACATAAATTTCCCATCCGCGGCACACAAAGCCTCTACATCGTGGGTTGTATCGGAGCCCATTGTCGCCTTCAGGGCCACCACTTCTTCCAATGTCTTCAGCTGCAGCACTGGGGCGAGACAATCGCTAATCGCCACCCGTCGAAGACGATTTTTTTTCTGTCCCTTTGACAGCCCAGTTAATTCAAGTCGCACATTCTCCACAATCGTCATGACGTCACAGGCAATACGAGCAGGGAAGATGCCAGAGAGGATACCGTCTAAGAGTAGCAGTGAAGGTCGAGTGTTCTCCTTATTCTTTGCGAGATCGGCAAGATTGATCGCAAGATGCTCTGCGCACAAAAATACTTGAAGCGCCTCCCTTGTTTGTATCCGCTCTTGAAGAAACTCCTTATAAAGCGCCGGGACATCAAGCGTATACAGAAGAACGTCAGGGTGGGGCTGCAAAATATCAGAGAAAAAGTCATGTACAAGGAGTAATATCTCTACCGGATCCAAATCCACGCGGGGAATAATGCCACACGCGCGAAGATGCAGAGGAACACGAGTCTCATGGCCTTGTCCTATAAGAGGAAGGGTTGGTGTTGGCATGGGCATGAGCACCATCTTCCGTCGTTGCAGCTCCCGCGAAAGTGAGTTAATGCTCTCCACGAGATATTCCACCTGAAGCCGTGTCTCACTCAACCCCTCCACCGTGGACGTTATGGCCTCATCACCCTCAAGCGCAATGGCTTTGAAAGGAGCCGCAGTTTCCTTAAGATCAGGGAGTGACGAGTAGACTTTCTTCCAGTCTGGACGGGGAGTGAGAAGTCCTTTCCGCTCGCCCTCAGCGGCGTCACGAAGATTTTTATTTTCTTCCTGAATGGTCTTGAGTTTCCTACCAATGACATCGACTTGCGTCCCTCGCACGGCGGCGGAGCGACGGTACTGTCGAATCATGTTCTGTGCGGCTTGCAATTCTCCTTGAAGGTAGTCCCGTATAACCTCGTGATCCTGTACGGAAATAAAATTCTGATACTTTATTTTGAACTCCTCGAGTTGCTTTTGAGCATCCCCTGCCATTACCTTGAAGTCCGCAAGTTCATCCATTTCAACAGCGGCGGCGCTCAACTGCTCTTCCAACGCCTTTGCTCTTCGATCACTCTCCCGCAAGGCATTGATAAGCACGAGTTGCTTCTCTAGATCATTTTTTATAACTTCGCCTAGGGCTGTGATCTGTTGCTTGGCGATACGCAGCTCCTTGTCCTTTTCACGAGAGGATCTTGACGGCCGCTGCGTGTGTGTCTCTGAGTTGGCTTTCCCACCACCTTTCTCATCGCTCTTGGGAGACGGCAGCGTTTCCGTGTCATCCGCCTGGTGGCGGGATCGCTCCAACTCCGCCGTTAAACTCGAGACGGCAGCCTTCAAGTCCGCGACCTCCGCGAGGTGTTGCTGCTCCGCGAGGTGCTGCTGCGACTGCTCCGAGATCGTTTCCACAAGCAGCTTCGCCTGCTCCTGAATAACGCCATCGTAGGCACTCATGATGTCGTTGAGGATATTGCCATACCCTGGGAAGGCGTCAATAAAGGCAAAAAAGGCCTCACGAAACGGCCGTAGACGATCCTGCGCAGTCACAGGCGCACCTTTACTCAAGGTCGCATCCATTTCCCGATGAATATAACGTTCTAGCACCGTCACCAGGGGAGGGAGCGCCTCCTTGGAAATAGTGCGGTACATCGGCGAGTTGACCGTGTCCCGCGTCCCAGAATAGGTCTCAAGCATTTTCTTGGAAAATGCCAAGGCGTTCGCCGACACCGACTTCGCCGAGTTTTCCATGTGTGAGGCCTGCATAGGCGGCGACGGACTCCGTCCCGCGTCTCCTCCACTGCCATGAAGTTGTGGGGACAACTGCGTTCTCCCGTGACCAGAGGTCGCTGCTTTTGAAGTCACGCGCTGCCTAGCTACCGGCTTTCCCTTCTTCGCATTCTTGCTACTGCCATGGCTCTTCGCGTTGACTGTTTGCGCTCCGTCCCTATTCGGAATGTTAAGTAGCATGCAGGCGGAGGGACCAATCGCAGGAAACGTCGCCGATAAACTTTGACCGCCCTCAGCGTACACAATTGGCCTGTACGGCAGTTGTGGCAGGTGCTTGCTGCCCAACACCACGGAGGGGACGGAGGGTGACGTGATGTACTGCATCCCCTTGAGGGGCAGCGTGCGGCACGGGCTGAGGGAGCGCCCGCCATCCATTTCTCGCCTCCCTACCCACAGACACACACTAAAGGGTGCTCTGTGGCAAGTTTAATAAATTCGTGTGACTTCCTCACCCTACGTGCTGCTCGGTTGCTCTTCGTTGCTCCTGCACCAGACTTCCGTAGAAGCGGCGCCGCCGAAGGAGGAACTTCTACGGCAACGCAATGACAAGGGAACAACAGAAGCCAAACAAAAAAAACAAAAGCTACAAATTGTGGCGCAAGTAGTTACGAATGCGATGAGGCAAATAACTTTCTCTGCCCGTACGCACAGACGCAACGACAGCAAGTATGCAGACGGATTCCTATACATTCGCAGGCACGGCGTGTGAGCTGGCTGTTTGCTCCTCCCATCGCCTCCCAGGATCTGTGGAGCTAGGGAAAACTATAAACACATACACGCCGCATAGACATAGTTACGCCACGAGTAAGACGAGAGAGTGGGGTAGGGGAAAATGGGTTAAGGAAAAATAAGGAAAGCAAGAACCACACACACCAACAAAATTATAGACAAAAAATATACCGTGACGAAGTTCTTGAAAAAAAAACAAAGTAAAATAAAATACACCCCCCCTTTTTATCTCACTGCCTCCTTCCCCTTTCGTCCTGTTGCCGTGTGTCATTTTCGTCGTCTGGTAGGACCAACAAAACAGAAGAAGTTTTGCTCTTCACGCAGTATGGCTGGGCTCAGACGAATTGCTCGCAAGCAGGCTACAGCTTTCTCCACGTCCGCATAGCTTTCCCCATGCCTCTGCATGGTTCCCGCAAAGTAGAAAAGAAAATGAAACATAAAGGCAAGAAAGGCGCTGAGCAGGACGTCCTGAGAGAAGTATGAGGGGAGAAAAAGTACACAAAAGAAGACATGAGAAACACATGCTAATGCGCATGGTGGCGTCAAAGAAGGTTTCACATTGAATTGTTTTCTCGCGGTCCATGTGTGCAAGTGCAGACCACACGCAGCAGTGGCTTAGCCACCCTTCATGGGCCAAGCGCAGCGGAGAGTGGCGCCGCGGGGGAAGAAACAAAAGCCCTCCCACCCCTCCCCCTTTTTTCTTCCCACGTGTAAACAAAAGACCCAGCCGCTGTCGTTAACGAAGATACAAGAGAACAAGAAGCAGGAAGGCACCCCCACTTTCCGGCACCCCTCCAACCCTAAGAGAGAAAACAAACACCAAAGAGAGACGGGGGAGAGGAGCATAACACTTCGCTGTCGACTGCCACTATCGGTGCTTTTTTTTGTAGACACGCAGTTTAGTTAGGCGCTCCCCAAACTTGATGTCTTTGTTTTGGTTTGCTTTCTTCGCCAGGCCACTAGCCATTCCGTCTCTCGCACTCCCTACGAGACACTCACATATTCAAATGCGCAGGAACTCGCGCGGACTCAGCAGAGAAAACGCCGGGGATTCACCTCCGCAATAAAAAGAAAGACATGTTCTTTTTTTTTTTTTGGCTCACCCACCTCCATTTTTACTTCGGCCTCCACTCTCGCGCTGCAAGGCCACGCGGCGCCAAATTCAAACACGGGCCTCAAATATGCCCCAAACAAGTCCACCTTCGCTCTGATCGATGAGGTCAAGTGTCTCCTTGGTGTCAAAGACACGGTCCTCCCCCACTTTGGTATGGCTGCTGCTTTTTTCGACGAACGGCCACGAACCCCGCTTCTTCCTTGGGCGCACAAAGTCAAAGTTAAGATCCATTTTGCTCCGCTCCTCCTCCAATATGGCGCGGTATTCCTCCTCCGTGAAGGTGGAGTTGACCTGGCGCAGTCTTGTTTTCATGTCACGCAGGGCCTCAGCCGTCACCAGAGGTGGCTTGTGCACCCCAATATCCGAAAAAGCGAGTCGGCACTTATTGATGATCGCCTGCGTGTTCAGGTCCTGAGAACCGACAAGGTACATCTCATACTGATACGGCGCTAGAATGGAGGCCATTTTTGGGAATATGTGCGTGGTGGGCCCCTCGCGCACCACCCGCAGCTTGTTGCCTATCCACTGAAAGAAGATCAACCGCGATTGGCGCTCCTCCGTCGCGCCAAGCGTTATGCGGAAGAGACCAAAGAGCCACTTTGGTGCCGGCAGGTGCTTCACAAGCTCAAAAATGCCCCCGTTACCGGCACCAGCAAGCGTTAAACGCAATGGGTTGGCCTCAAAGATAGCCCAATTCAATGGACCAAGCTCCTTGTGAAGGGCGTCAAGAACTTTCCTTGTGTTGCTGTCCACCTCACAGGGGGTGTTGCTAATTTGGGCGGAGGTGAAGCTTGGCATCTCGTACTCGTCCTCGTCCTCGTCCGAAGAAGGGTGCGAGACAGGCGCGGGTGGTGGTCGTGTTCTCGGCCGTGCTTTTGGCCGTGCGGGCGGTAAATCTTGATGCATGCTACGTTGCTGTTCCTTTATGCAACGCTTATATTCCTCCTGTATCTTTTCCAGGGAGACGTTGCCAGCGTCGGTGACGAACACCTTGCGCATCTGCTGAACTACGAAGGCAAGGGAAAGTGCAGACTTTTCCGTTGTTGAAACCCCGGCGGCGGCATGGAGGAGATTTTTAAAAAGATTAATCTCCTCAATGCCTTTTCCACGCTTCACTACACCACACTTGGGGCCGATGAAGATGATGTAGATAAACTTGTTGCGCCTAAAGCTCCCAGTACCCACAGGAAACTTCGTGTAGACTAGTTGTACCTGCGTTTCATCCAGCTGATTAAAGGCACTCTCCACATCATCTGTGCCGCGGGCCACACAAACCACCTTGGAACTCATCCCGCCCTAAACCCACTTCTCCCACTTTTTGCGCCCCTCTCCCACCTTCCTCCTCCTTTCTGCCTTGTTTTGAAACAATCGCGGTCAAGTCGTCTCCCTGGCGCGTCCGACAACACCAAAAATTCAGCACAAAGTAGCTTTCCTTCTCTGCGTTTTTTTCCTTTTTTTTTACTTGTCGCACACCCCTTATATCTGTCCCGGACTACGTCCTTGCTGCGGCAGAAACAAGCTGGCAAGAAATGGAAACATAGCAGCGTGTAAATTCAATGGCGATGGCATAAATCTACGGGGAAAACGAACGCCCCGGCAGAGCAATGTGATGCAACTCTTTCCCTGCTCAACACGGAGATATATAAAAGCAAAACAAAATGAAAACGCCCAGCAATTCATCCATTTTTTTTTCCTTCTCTATTTCGCTCTGCTTTTTTTTCCCCCTTCCTTTTGCTTGCGTATCCATTTCCTCTACAAATTATCCTTCTCTCTCCCTTCATTCCATTTTTTTTAAACTCTTTCTTTTTCGGGCATTGCTCAATGATATCCCTTTTCCCCTTTATTATTATTTTCTTTGCTCGGCAGCCAGTTCTCTCGCAAGTGTCCAGTTGCAAATAACGTGGGTCGGAGCTGCGGCGACAGGGGGGCGGTGACACAACTCCCACAATTTCCTTTCCGAGTTCGCCCCCTCCCCATCTCTCCCTGTCTCTCCGCCGCGTTCAGGATTCGTTCGATTTCTTCCTCAGAAGACCCCCTGAAGAAGACTGTTTTTTTTCCCTTTTTTTTTAGTCTTTTTTTGGCCGAAGCTCACTTTGGTGGAATGCATCGTTTTCCTACAAATGCCTCGCGGCACTTACTAATTCCACGCCTTTTGCGTCCTGCACGCCGTGGCGTGCGGTGGGACACGCACACAGACACGCATGTACACATTCGTGTGCGCGCACACGAGCATTGCGCTTCTGTTCCATCCTTGGCTTCCTCGCACAACCTCTGCGCGGTGGGTGATGCCCAAAAACCCAAGTGCCCACACCCGCACTGCTTAATCTTTCCTTCCCTCCACCGCCCCCCTCCCCCCACCAAGAAGGTGCGCACACTCCCACACGCACGACGCCAGGAACTCTTTCTTTCGCGTTATCGTTTTCGAGGGCCTCAACGTTTTTTTCCCCCCCCCCTTTAACCGTCGCCTGCCAGAAGCACAACTGCACCCTCTGGAGCTGCCGGTCAAGGTTGCGCCCCCCCCTCCCCCTTCCCTCTCCAGTAACGTGCCGAGCCTTGCCCCGCGTTATTCGTCCTTCTTGGTCACCTCCTCCACCTTCGTCTTGAGTGTCCCCATGTACTTCTCCACCTTTGACTTGGCCACGCCCACCCATCTGTCGATCAGATCCTTCTTCCTCTCGTAAACCGCGGGAACGGAGAAGGCCAGTACAACGACACTCACGAGAAGCGCGGTGTCGGAGAAGAGGTTGCCCAGAAAGGCGATCACGACGCTAGCTAGAGTTACCATCCCGGAAAGGTGGTAGTTACGCCATGTCACAACGTTGTACGTGGTTTCAAGGGCCGCCTCCGCCCGGGGCGTGGCGTAGTCCACAAAGCGGTTAACCGCACAGTGAATGTCGTCGGAGGTGAGTTTGCACCGATTCGTCAAACCCACAATGACACCAAGCAATAGCAACAGCTGGATAACGCGGCAGAGAAACGTCACCACTGTGTATTGCATAAAGCAAAACAAGGCCAGAACTGAAATCACAGTTCCAAATAATACACTTGTAACTTTGGGGCGGTGCCACGCCAGCACCTCCCACAAGGACATGTCACAGCACTCACTGAAGACACAAAACGTCATCTTTTATAGATTCGGCCTTTTATCTTTCTCTTCAAGTACTGTGAGCGTTTTTTTTTTCTTCTTGCCTTTTTCCTGGTTCTTGTTTTTATTCCGTGTGTTCTCGCCAAACTTTCTTCGCAGAAACGCAGAGTCAATACAGTGAAGGGGTAAATTTCTTGTGACGCAGAGGACGACGCGCTCCACTAACGGCGGTTATGTATTCAAGCAAAAGTAGGGGGTGAGGGAAAACGGAAAAGTGCGGTGCACCCTGAAAGTCCACACGCACACACACAACAACAACAACAACAACAAAAACAGGCGTCCGCCTCGCAGCTGATGAAAAAGCAAACCGGACTTCCTCCTCACTCGCAACAAGGCAACATGCAACAAACAAACAAAAGCAGTGACCACCATAACTCGTTACGCCCACACTTCCTTAAACTGGTACTCGTGCCCACATGTGTTTTCCCTTTGCCTCCTTTTCTTATTTGCAGTGTCTAAAACGGGTATGGCGATGTTCGGTACGCTTTGTACGCCAGCGTAAGCGTCCAGTCATCAAACTCGAGGCCCTTTGCACTCATCCGCTCCATCACAGCCTCCACGCTTTCTGCAATGAGTGTTGCAGTCAGCCCCTGCCTAGGGCCGTCCGTGTACAGCTGCAGCAAAATATGATACATGGTGGTCCCTGCCCGAGACGTAGTAAACTCCTCCCATCGGTCTATGGCGTTGAAGCAGCTGCGCAGATGTGAGGCACCGTAGCCAGTCACTAAATGGTAGTGTTTTAATACAAGCACCAGGGGTTCGGCCAGGTCGATGGTGTCGAAGCAGTGGCCACGCAGCGCGGAAGAAAAGAGCTCATCCAGTTCCTCAATTGTCTTCGCGTAAGGGAACGCACCGTAAAACACTTGTCGCTGATCGTGAAGGCATTTGGCGTGGGATTCATACCAGGCATCTGACTTACGCCGAAATTTTCCGTCATCGGTTTCCTCTGCAGGATCCGGAGCTGTTCCATGCACGCTCGTCTTGGAGGACGCGCCATGACCCTTCGTTGCTCGTTCGCGCACACGGCGGGTACACTCCTCGTAGGCCTCCTTGATAAAACGAAACTCCGCCTCACTGCCACCAACGTCAGGGTGGTCCGTTTGGCATCTTGCTCGGTAGGCCGCCTTCACCGCCCCAAGACTGCTACTCTCGCTGATCCCCAGCGTGGCAAACGGACACGCCGGCGACGACAAGCAACGAGAACCGGTGGAGCCTTTGCAGCCTGCATGACGTCTCGAGGTGTGCTGACAGCACACCCAAAAGGCCTGGGCCGAAGAATGAACCGTCACCGCCCCCATGACTGTCCTTCCAATCATGAGAGCAGCACCCTAAGGAAGCGCCTTTAGCTCACCAATGCAGGTGGGCAAAGAGCGGGCAGAAAGAATGCCGGGGGTGGGAAAGGC